GAATTTAGAAAACAACGTTCTAACGCGTTTAAACGGCTTCGTCGAAAAGCGTGGAAACGCATTTTGTATGCGTTTAAACAGATTTTTAATGCGTTTAAACAACCGGCTCTGTTGCGTATCAATATTGCATTTCGTATGCTGGAAAGTAAGCTAATTTAGTTGTATTTGAATGAATAAATTACCAGTGTTCTGTTATAATTATGAAATGCGAAGGGTGCATGTCTTCCAACTCACTGTGTCAAAATGGTCAATTTAGTAGCAACTTACCTTTTGCCTTTCTTTTCTACATAGCAGGTGGCCAAAAAAATGTCTTGCAAGTAATAATCACATTCCGTCTACAATATCGTTTTTTCTGTGAGCGCCTCATGCACCCCGAGTGCAAGAATGTGCAAGAATGTCGCGCTATCAACAACAGCAACCAAACAATTAGCACACGCAGAAAAGAAGATGCGGTTTTCGAGTCTTCCTAAGAATGGAGCAAGCAGTCGAATTTGAGCCTACGGATTCTGTAGTTTTCATGTTGAATACAATAGCCAACAATATTGCTCAAAGAAACGCAAACTACCTAACGACGCTTGAGAATGTTTCTATCAGCATATCGGGCTTCACCAACAGGCCGGTCAATCATTTTTCTCAAGCTTGTTTTAATCTTTTTATGCTCTTTAAAGCCTTCACATTCGACTCCTTCGATCGTTTTTCCTCTTCGGAATTTTTGGCGACAAAAGCACGTCGCCAGAAGCGAAGCAGAATCGAAGAAATGATGCCGCAAGCCTTCGTCATGTTTCATGTTATCGTTCGAATAACATGAATATTTTCGCATTCAGGGTCACTGGTCACGATGTCGTGACGCCCGCCCCGTGACAACAGAAAATATCAGCTTTTTCGCCCCATAGCGACTTAACAATTCTATTGTCCGTACCATAATGCCTCGAGAAAATAGAAAATGAGAGAAACAGGCAGTCGACAAACCACCATCAAAACTGGGACGTAATTCAAAGAACGAGCGGATCACAACAAAATTTAATCAAAATGTGACAAAGTAAACATCGCATTGACTTGACCAAAATTAATACTGCTGGGTTGAAAAATTCTCCCCTTTGTTATCCTTTGGAGACAGAAACCTTAATGTCCAGTTGGGAGAGAAGTAGGGAGCGATTCAGTAAAAGTGGAAGCCCTTTTGATTTGCTAACATTTGCTAGTATCGCAAGTATTAACCGGTTTGACAGCAGCTCAAGGGTCCTCAAGGTTTTCTGACCAGCGAATTGATTTTTCTGTAACTGCCTTGGCGTTCACAAAAAGGCTTTCCATCGGATAGTCTTGAATTTATGTTATGGATTCTTTCAGTTGTCACTATATTGTCGAACTGCGAGAGAAATAGCGAAAAAGCAAGTTAGAGCTGTTCCAGCTTCACCCAAATTTGCTATCTTTGTGATCGCAGATATCCTCCGGTATGATTGACTCGAAGACTAATTGTTCCTGTGTACGCGCGGCCAGGGGCCATAGGGATTTGGGCGAGCAGGGGTGTTTCATTTGTCAACTCCTGCCGATTTTAGCCAACTACCTGCTCTTGCATATAGGCGACACACGTTTCCGACCCACCTTTGCAAACTTGGATACCTGAATAACAATATAAATGGTTGTCTTTACACTAGGCTGTTAACTAGACTTACGAGCTGCTAAGTTTTACTTACCCAAAAATTCGTGTGTGAAGGCCTAAGAAAAATGTCAAGAAACTTTACTTTGCATCTCATTAAAGTCGGAAAGTTGAAACGATTCAACAAAGTTTCAAGCGACTTGAAAACCATCCTTATGACCGACTTAGCTGACTTGCGGTTACTTGCGGTTTCTCGAGCTTTGAGAAAGGCGAAACATGTCAATCAATCTTAATTATGTTGCGTGGGAAAATAGCCTTTTTAAGTTATAACCTGACGTAAAAAAGAATCGGTTGTGTGTGAAGCTTTATTTTACTTGAAGTAATTAAAATTTACTTGTCTTGAAATATTTCTTAGCTTATTTGGGCTCTAGTGTAAAGACTACCATTGTTCTAAATGTTTCAGATAAATGTTTCAGATGTTGTTCTTTCCCTCCTTTCAAAGATTTTGTTTAATAAAATTATTACCAAGATTTTTAACAAGACTTTTAATAAGAAATCATGCCTTATTAACACAAATGAGACTTCCTGCTGAGCAAAAGTACTTTTCTTCCATCAATAAATTAGTCAAATTGGGTGAGATTAATTGAGGCGGTTGTACGTTTAAAACGAGGAATGCATATAGCAACACTCAAATACCTGTATAGTTGCTGTTGCAACGATGGGTAATGGTCTCAACGGAGGAAAGTTTATCGATGAGAAACGGGAGCTACAGTATATTCTTTTCGTATCAGTACAGATTGTTTATTAAAGTTCCATCCAGCTTCCATCAATGCTTTCTTTGACGGACAAGACCGTATTTAGAGGCGATGAGCGGCAGTAAAAGCAAAGTGGCTGTAATGCTTCGGAGGAGACAGTTCCCTGTGGCAAGCCACACACAGCGGGAACGCCAATCTCAGCCAAGTCGGGGAACAGATCAAGCAAATGTGAGATGTCATCTGTGCTTAATGTTACTCCTTCCACGCACATTGCAAAAATCTCGTGCTTTTGAATAGCACAAATTATGGAATCAACACCGACCTTACAATGAGCTAGTCCAAGAAAACGTAAGGAATCAAAAGAGGCATTGTTAATACCCGTATCGGTCAAGTTTTCACATCCGCAGACATTCAAAATTCCTAAAGAGGATATGCTTTCCGTAATAAACACTAGATGGCTGTCATCTAACTTTGTTTCGCTCAAGTTGAGCTCCACAATGTTAATAGCTCTAATCACTGGATATTCAGACAGTTCACCTTGCATTCTAGCCATATTTAAAACTGTCAGTCTGGTACAATTTTCCACTATTTCACAGAATGTTGACCAGTTTGTACTTGCGCCAGATAAGTCTATAGATTGGAAGAGACAAGGCCTCCATTTAACCGCCTGACGAAAGTTATCCACAGTCTCCTTTGATGAGTTTTGGGCCTTTACTTCTGAGAACTCGGTATCCCTTGCGTACTTAATCAGACTTTTGTCTTGAGAAATTTGCAGCCACACCTTACACACAAGAGAAGCAGTTTTTCGAACAAATTTGTAAGGTAAATAAGAGAAAATGTTAAGTATGATGCTTTGAGGTAAACTATCCATTTATCTTCCGTCTACCACCCTGAAGACGAGTACTATAGTATTTTGTGAAGATAGAAAGGGAGTGACTGTTTATGGTGCCACTAAAATCGTCCTATCAGATAGCTTTAAAAGTCGCTAATGCCATCAGATCCTCTTGTCCCCCACCAAAGACTTAGATCTGTTTGTGATTTTGGTCTCAAGATCCAAGGAACCAAGTGCTTAAAGCAAAATAAAAAGCAACAGATCAAGGAAACTTTTGTTCTAAAAATGAAATACTGAAGTACTGAAATCTCTATACTTGAAAACCTAAACATATTGCAAGGGGAATGGAAGTCCTTATCTTCCAACGAAAAGAAGACCTCTTCATACTCCAAAAAAACAACATTTCGCCATATCTTAATGATTTAGAGTCTCAAGTGAATGTCTTCTTATTTTTATGTTTGCTGATACAATCAGATGTTCTGGTTCTCCAGCCAAAAGGAGCTGTTTGCGTTTTTGGTCGCAAGATCAAAGATACCAACTGGGGTGCCAGAAAGTAAAAGCGAAGTATTAATAAAACTTTTGTTCTAAAGTGAGACATCGAGTCACTAGTTTCCCTAAGCAAGGAATACTTAAACATATTGCTTAAAGCTCCGTATCTTGAAACGATAACTTGAGTAGACCTTTTTATAGTCTAAAACAACAATCTCTCTATCTTGAGGAATGTTGGGAGTCCTGTGTGTTTTTCTTATGCGTTCTGATGCTGTCAGATTATCTGGTTCCCACCGAATTAAAAAGAAGTTGTTTGAATTGACATCGGGACAGCATACACGTTTGAACTAAAAGCATGGCAAGTAAAAAAGTGATGATTCGTTGGGATACAAAGTGTGCGTGGAATGGACGTCAACAGCCAGTTCCGCGAAAAGACATTGATCCACCGAAACCGGCCAGCTTAGCAGAAGGCGAAAGAATCAGAGTGAAGTTTTCTGGAAGGTGGTACAACGCATTCGTGGTTACATCGTGGTCAAAAGAACAAAAAGGTTAGTGTTTTTATAGTATATTGTTCCTTCGAATTTCCTCAGCCATTGTGCTATTCAGGATATGAGATTTTTTAGAGTCTTGCCCCTGCAAAACACCTTCGATCTTAACTATTCCGTCTTATCCCGTGGAAGCAGGGATAGCACAGTGTTGAAAGTATGACACTGCTCTGAGATGCTTTTCTCTGGGTGCTCTGGTGGTTTCCATTTTTTCGTCCCCTAAGCAAGAAATTTCATTAAAAGTTACGACTAGTTTCAGTTTTAATATGGTTTGACCTAAATTGGTGGTTACATTTTTAACAGGTGTTGCAAAAAACAAGTCTTCAACTGCTGGAATAGGAGGCAACGCGGATGAAAAAACAAAAGCGCCGAAAGCTAAGAAGCGTACGCGTGTTGACCAAAGTGACGATGTAGCTCCTACAGTCCCAAAAAGAAAAAAAGAGGAAGACCTTTATAAAAACTTCTTGGAGGAGAAAAGTCAAAGGGAGTCCGGCTGGCGTTTGATGCGCGTGGGCAATAAAAAACAGAGGGGTGAAGTACGAGGGGAAGAGAAAGTACATGAAGGAAAGAGTGACGAAAAGGACAGTGACTCGGGGAAAGAGAGCCAACAGATAGAGATGGTGAGAACGGAGAAGGAAAGGAATGAAAGGGAAGTGGAAATTTGGCAGAAAGAAAAGAGAAAATGGGAAGAAGAACGGAGAAGGGAGGAATTGGAAAGCAGGGAGAAGGAAAGGAGAGAATGGGAAGAGAGATGGAAAAAAGAGGAATTGGAAAGAAGGAAGAACGAAAAGAGAGAATGGGAAGAGAAATGGAAAAAAGAGGAATTGGAAAGAAGGAAGAAGGAAAAGAGAGAATGGGAAGAGAAATGGCGTAAAGAAGAAGTGGAAAGAAGAGAGGGAGAAAGAAAAGAATGGGAAGAGGAAAGAAGAAAGGAAGAGGTGGAAAGAAGGGAGACGGAAAAGAGAGAGTGGGAAGACGAGAGGAGACGCCAAGATGTGGAAAGAAAAGAGAAAGAGAGGAGAGAATTGGAAGAGGAAAGGAGGAAGGAGGACGTCCAACATAGAGAGAGCCTGCAAGAAGATAACACCGATATGATGGCACTCCCCTTAGATCTTGATTGGCCAGACTGGTCCCTGGACAGTCCAACAACTAGCCAAGCAAGTAGCGGATGGCAAAGTACTTCCTTTAAACAAAGCAGTGAGAATTGGCAATCTCAGATGAACGAGGTAAACTTAGAACATACGTTTATAGTTACAGGGGTATCGTGACCACTTATTCCCAGCCTATTGTCTTTTACAGACAGTGAAAAAAATGGAATCAACCCTTGCAGCATTTATGGCTGAAACAAGGATCGCATTGCAGAACTTGGATGACCGCATGAGGAAGTTTGAAAATCCTGATCTTCTACCTGCACATTCAACTCCATTTTCGGTAAATATTGTTTTCTGAAATGTTTAATTACCGGGTAATAATTAATTGCAGCATTACAGAGATAATAGTGATGTTTCCGATAATCAGCAACTGTTCACCGAAGTGGAGGTGGGTAGTGGTGGATATATTTTCTGAGCCACGAATAGTTGTTTTGGTATATAGTACTGAAAACAGTGAGATAATATAACAAAAACAGATGATTTTAACTCATTTATTCCTGCAAAGACTACAACATTTTGGGGCGCAAATTGCGCGCGAATTGCTCGCAGGTGAATAGCGAAGGATATCCGGAGTTTGAGTAGCCTATCAGCGCGCCTGATCAATGCTATCCACTGGTTTAGTATATATCAACAACGATTATAATAACTTGTCAGGGGCTAAATTTGATTGCTATATCGATAGTTTGGCCGGCTTCTGACTCACGATAGTTCTGAGATATTCACTGGGCCAACAATTATAAACGTTTTTTTTTGTTGCTGTGAGTGCGTTGTAAAGCATCTTATACTATACGGCTGGAACAAAGGACAACGAAAGTACCTCATATTTCTGATATTTATTTCTTTAATTGTGTCACAATTATAGGGTAGCAAAAAACGTAGGTGTACACCGACAAGCACTCCAAGCACATCGTCTGAGTTGCAGTCCTTGAAAGTTTTGACACCCTCCACCCGATCAAAAGTTTCCCAGTTGCTAGACACAAGCACTGAAAGACATAAAGCAGCTCTGAAGATATTCGCTCTCCACTTCTCAAAAGAGGAATTAGCGACTTCCAATTGTTCTGGAACGTCAGAAAAAAAGCAGCTTGACCCCAAGCGCCTGACTCTTGTGAAACGTAAGCGCAACCATTATATTTTAGTTTCTGAAAAACCTAGAATTACAGCCACATATTAAATGTATCAAGTTTTAGTGATCTTCTTACTTGGTGACCCCAAGGTTTGTCAGTGACAAATCCCAATGGGTGCTTCACTGCCAAAAAGAACATAATACCAAAGATATTGTTGTAATTTTAAAACTTTGATAATATAAGATATTCCTTGGGGTTTTGTTCGTTTAAAATTAATTTATTTATTTTCAAATAACATCTTATTGTATCTTTCTCCCTAGAAATTGTTATGGAAAAATTTCCACCCGAGGAGAGCGCAGGTGAAACTGAAGAGAGTGTTTGGAAGAGTATCTGTAAGAGGATTGACACAAAGTGCCGCGGACAGAAATTCGCTGAAAAGTACGCGGTCAAACAGCCTCAATAAAGCATCTGATCAGCCGATGGTAGAATGTCTTTAAAGATTATGTGAAAACTATAGTTACAACTGTGATCTTAATAAAAGTCAGCAAACACTTCGTTACAAAAGACATGTATCCTAAAATACCTTTGGACACCATGAGCTATAAAATCAAAGAACAAAGTTATTTATCAGGCCGACTGGTTGGTACGACACTTGTCGGAGCCTAAAACGCCAAAAAAAAATGCCCGATTTAAACTGATTTATACCGCTGGTTTGCCAAGAAATCTCAAAAGGGCAGTCGTTTGGTCAAGAGCTAGACTAAAAGGGGCACTTCTTTGTCGTCAATGGTTTAACTTAAAAAAAATGTTCAGAAATCGTAAGTCTACGGTTTGGGAGCAATAAGATCCTCTGTGCCTTCTTTGCAAAACTGTCGAATTTCAGTATAGAGGTATTGTTTCCTTTGCTGATCCAAACCTTTGGGCTGTAAGGGAGCAGGAGGGATGCTGGGCGGAAGGGTATCTTCTTTACGTAATAGACTAAAACGTTCATCGGTTCCATCTGAAAACTCCCTATACATTAGAACACCTGGCATTGCTTGCTTGAATTGAAAATGATGATATTTCTTGATGTTTGGAAACTTTTTAAAATAAGGCGACAAAAAGGAGACCCAGTCATAGACTGGAACAATGGTTGAACCATCATGCAAAGAGCACAGCTGTGTAACATTAACCCCCCTGACAGTTGATGTGTCTACTACAGTTGCTAATTCGTACAGCGAGGAGACAAAGGATTTCCGAAAGCTTTGCTTTAAAAGCCCGAAACACCAGTCACATGCAAATTTTGTATGTCCAACAATGAGAAAGCTATAAGTGCAACATTGGTGAAGTCCAACCATTACTCTCCATGCGAGATACCAAAGTACGTACGAATTTTTGTTCTGGCCACAACAGTTGTCTGCGTGAAGGAGCACTTCTGTTTCACCCAAGCCATGGTTTGCAAAAAAATAGTGAAGATAGCTTATGGTCGCATTTGCACCCTTTCCCATATTGCCAGCCTCGTCAATAAGAAAATTAACTTGTCTTGGCAATGATTCACAGCAAATGCCAAAAATTCCCACTTTCCGTGGAACTTTGAAATAAATGGGACCTGGCTGCATTGGATTTGAGGGTAAATGTACTTGCTGTGCATAATCAAATGAATAGTGCACTTTACCATTAAATGAACAGGGCTGTCGTGTTGAATTAAAATCAATCTCGTGTAGTATTTTGGCAATGCTGTCTTTGCTTTCATTGCATGCATTTTTGTACAAACTTCTCTCCCGTTCTGCGTCCAGTAGGTGCTTTTCTTGTTTACGCACAACTTCACTTTTCTCATCATCTGGTAAATTAGCTGACCGGTAAATACTTGTGTTATTCTTTTGACACGTGTGGCACAAGTCAGTCATAGGCTTCGTAATTCTCATTTGGGGGCGAAGTTTGTTCCACATTTCTACAAATTTGGGATATGAGACAGCAGTAACTCCTGCACTCGCCGCGGCTTGTTCGTATACTCTATGTATGCTTGCTTTAGTGTTGGATGATGGTAACAATCTTACGTCTGTACGTTTGAATCCTGGAACTCTACCTGGGAGTGCGACAGCGTGTTCTTCTGCGTAATTATCAAGGAACGATACAACACGTTTTAGGGTTTCCAATGAACAGACTCTAATGGGAAGTCTTCCTTTGTTGCCATGAACACGAGGAAGAATTCCGTTTTTCTTGTAATGCTTCTGGAGGTTTTCCAAGCGTTTCTTTCCAATTCCATATACGATTAAAAAGAAGTCCTTGCAAATCGGAAAACCTAGAGAAAGAATGAAAAAGAGGCAACTTAACGAACACGGACACTGCATTTTTCCAAAAAAACATTCCATAACTGGCAAAGACGGGCTAAAAGCGGTCAATTTTCAAATAAATTAGCGGACAGACATAGCTGAACTGAAGTTGTTACAAACTCTCATCTTCCATAAGCTACATTCGTAACATTGTTTTCACCCTACCTTGAAAAGTGAAGTTTGTTCGCATCCTTCTCCTTTGTCTTGTTTTCCGACTGGACAAAGACAGTTCGTCTCTTTTGGTGCATGCGTCAAACTGCGCAAGTATCACCATGTCTAATTCAGAGTTGGCCATTTCAAGACAAATTTGTCTATGTTCCAGCACGTTTTCCAGAGAAAAATTATTGCTGCAGTATCCATTGTTACTGACATTCAAACTGCATCCGCAGCCCTTTGCCAAAAATGATTCCACTTTTTGGCGCTCATTGACATCACACTCCCTCCATTGCATCTCGGGGTCCAACTCGATATTGGTGTCCGGTTCCTCCGCAACCAATTCATCTTCATCGCTGTCAGAGTCACTTGAGTATATCTGCTCTCGTTCGCTCGTGAAATAGGTTTGTTCTGCCGACTGCAAATCACCCGCGAATGTTTCGGGAAGGTTCGATGTGTTCAGAGTATGATCCATTTCTCAATTTTGTTTTTCGGAGCTTTGCTTTTTGTCTTATTTCAGAGCTTTGAAAGGGCTGTCCTCTTGTTGTAGGTTATCTTGCTTGCGTCTTAGCGATTTACTATCTGCGTAGGTTAGCACTCCTTTTCATATCGCAAATCATCAACAAACAGGAAATGAAACAAATTGATGTCACGTTTTGACAAGTACTTACAAAAGGGAGCAAGAACAAAGGGAGTTATAATTTCCATTAACTCAGTGACTTAAAAGTCTAAAATTTCGAAAGGTTGCGTGACCGATCACGACACGTTTACATCAGTTTATTTCTTTTGGGCTGTCATCAACCAATTTCTTTGCTAATGGCTTGAACGTAACACTTTATATGCAGCTTTAGTGGAGCCCTGTAAGACCCCTGTAATGATGGTGCGAGTTATGTTATCTTCGTTCGATTGCTTGGGCCTTAGTCGTCGCTCAGAGTCAGAAGACAGCCGCTATGTCAACTGCCTTGCATGATCAAACATGGATAAAGGAAAACAGTAGTAAGTTTTGCATGTGAAGACTGCCCAATGCAGAATTTAATTTGATTGTTGTATAAGCGTTTGCGCCTCTAGTAAGACCGACAGCATTCAACGATCAACGTTCTGTTTTAAAACAGGATCGCACGTGACAAGAGAAACCATCTGATGACCCTCGCTGATCACAGGATACACATCAAAAAGCAAAATTTTGCTTAACACCATCATGTAATATTCATTCGTACATTCCTCACTTTAGTTGAAACGAATTTCTATTGTTTATGCTCATGATTTTCGTACTGAGTCACCGAGTATTTAGTGTTTTGTTTTCTTCTCAAAGAACGCCGCCATATTTGGTTGGACTTTCGATCACGCATTTCTTCTCCGTTCCGAGTCCTTGAATTAAGTTTTCGATGGTTTGTCGAGCTGCATTGCTTCAAGTAAATCAGAGTAACCCCGGATGACACCCAATAATAAAGCAAGTATTCATGTAATTATGCACTCATTTGAGGTAAATTAACAGCGTTTAAACGCGTCGTTTGTGTAAAGCTCTTTCGACATAAAAGTCTTGCGAACGCGTTTAATGTGTGTTTAAACGTTGTTTAAATACGTTTTAACGGTGTTTAAACACGTTTACGTTTAAAACGATAGAAAACACGTTTTTTTGTCATTCACCTTAATCCCCCTTTTCCTAAATAAGGTCACAATTATGATTCTATAAATACTAAACCACGTATTCGTTGTAAGTTGACTTTGATGGTACCATCGTCTAGTTATACCAGCCTCTTCACTCTTGGGTTTTGAACTCCTGCATTGAGCTACTCATGAGTTGTGGACCATGCAGTAATGCCAAATCGGTTGTTCTTCTGTACCTAAGTAAAAAGAATTCATTTTCACTCAATTGGAAACTTATTTGTGGCTCAAATCATAACTTTTGGCCTGAGGTATTTATAGGGACAGAGACAAGCAAGGGATGTACCAATAGTATAATGTCTAAGATCTAGTCATTCAACCGATCTCACAAAATAAATGTAAACAATGATCTTATAGCATCACATGTTTATAAATAAATAAGACTACTAGACTGACTGCAGTGACAAGGATGTCCAAGATAACAAGGGTGACTAGAATAACTGGGGTGTCTTGGATGACTAAGATAACGGGAATGACCAGGGCAACTGACATGATTAAGATGACAAGGGTGACCAGGGTGACTTGGATGACCAGGGTTATTAAGATAAGTAGGCTAACTGAGTTGACTAGGATGACTGCCAAGATGATAAAGTTGACAACAGTGAATGTGTTGACTGTGATGATAACAATGACTGGAATGGCTGGGATGACTGGAATGAAGATTTGGATGACTGGATTGACAGGAATGACTTGACTGGGATGACTGGGGTAACTGGGGTGATTAGGATAACAACAGTGAATGGGTTGACTGTGATGATAAGGATGACTAGGATGGCTGGGATGACCGTGATGCAGGTTTGGATGACTGGATTGACAGGAATGACTAGGATTACTGTGATGACTAAGATGACAAGGTTGACTGGGATGACTGGGGTAACTGGGGTGATTAGGATAACAACAGTGAATGGGTTGACTGTGATGATAAGGATGACTAGGATGGCTGTGATGACTGGAATGACTGGGATGCAGGTTTGGATGACTGGTTTGACTATGCTTGGTTTGAGGATGACTAGGATTACTGGGATGACAAGACACAAAGGTTTCCTGGGATGACTGGGATGATTAAGATGATAACAGTGCATGGGTTGACTGTGATCTCAAGGATGACTAGAATGGCTGGGATGACTGGAATGTGGGTTTGGATGACTGAGATTACCAGGCCCATGATTAGGATGACAACAATGAATGGGTTAACTGTGATGATTAGGATGACTAGAATGGCTGGGATGACTGGGACACAGGTTTAGTTGACTGGAATTGCTGGGATGATTAAGACTACAAATTGACTGGGATGACTAGAATGAGCATTATGTTTTATAATAGCATTATTCGCCCTGTTATGTCTTACTGGGGTGACAGGCATGCCTGGGATGGTTTGAATAACTGGAATGACTGGGATTACTAGGATTACCAGGATGACAAAGATGACAAGGTTGACTGGGGATGACTGGTTTGACAGGAATGACAGGAGTGACTGGAATAACTATTATTAATGGATAGCTAACATGACTGGGATAACTAGGATAACTAGAACACTAGGGTAACTGTGATGAATGGGATGACTAGGGTGGTTGGCATGACTGGGATGGTTTCGTTGACTGAAGTGACTGGGATGACTAGAATGGCTATGATGACTATGATAACGTAAATGACTAGGATTACCGGGTTGACTGGGATCACTAGCATGACTGTGATGACTGGGAAGACTAGTATGACTAGGGTGACTGGGATGACTAGGGTGACTTGGGTGACTAGGGTGACTAGGATGGCTACCGTGACTAGGGTGACTGGGATGAGTGGGATGACTAGGGTGACTAGGATGGCTAGGGTGACTAGGATGGCTAGGGTGACTAGGATGGCTACCGTGACTAGGGTGACTAGTATGACTAGGGTCAATACGGTGACTGGGATGAGGGTGACTTGGATGACTGGGGTGACTAGGATGACTAGGATGACTAGGGTCACTAGGATGACTAAGGGTGACTAGGATGGCTAGACTGACAAGGATGACTAGGGTAACTAGGGTGAATTGGATGACTAGGGTGACTAGTGTGACTAGGGTGACTCGGGTGACCGGGATGAGTGGGATGACTAGGATGACTTACATGGCTAGGGTGACTAGGATGACTAGGGTGATTAGGGTGACTGGGATGATTAGGGTGACTAGGATGACTAGGGTGATTAGGGTGACTGGGATGAGTGGGATGACTAGGGTGACTTGGATGGCTAGGCTGACTAGGATGACTAGGATGACTAGGATGACTTGGATGACTGGGGTGACTAGTGTGACTAGGGTGACTGGGATGAGTGGGATGACTAGGGTGACTAGAATGGCTAGGGTGACTAGTATGACTAGGGTGACTGGGATGAGTCACTAGGGTGACTAGGGTGACTAGCTAGAGGGACTAAGAAGCCTAGGATAACTAGGGTGACTTGGATAACTAGGATGTCTGGAATTACTGACAGCGATGTAAAACTGTCCAAGGTGTGAGCCCAGGAGTAATTTAATAAGTAGGTTGAGCATGATCGCCCAGGTGATCGTAGTCCTAAATAGGACTGTTGTTGCTGACATTTATTAAACTTTTGACAAATTGTGCAGCAGTTGTCTTCAGAGTCAAAGTTGGTTGTATTGCATCAGTTGAAAATATTAAAATCTGGTTATTGACCTGATTGGTAAATTAAGTCACGATGATATTGGTAGTCTGTTAGTTAAGCAGAACTGATGTTATTTGGATAAATAGACTGAACGGCAGGGGTGACTGGGATGACTGTGATGAAAAGATTATTTTTAGAATAACTGGGATGGTTAGGTTGAGTAGGGAAACTTGGGTGACTAAGGTAATTGGGGAGACTAGGATAAGTAGGGTGATGAGATAACTGAGATGACCGGGGTGACTAGGATGACTAGGGTGATGAGATAACTGATATGACGGGGGTGACTGGGATGACTAGGGCGACAAGATAACTGAGATGGCTGGGGTGACTAGGATGACAAGGGTGATGAGATAACTGATATGACGGGGGTGACTGGGATGACTAGGGCGATGAGATAACTGATATAACTGGGGTGACTAGGATGACTAGGGTGATAAGATAACTGAGATGACTGGGGTGACTAGGATGACTAAAAGGTTAGACCATGGTTTTCATCAAAAATTTGAAATTTTTCTATGTTTTTATTTTTGGCAAAATCAGCCAGCAAAATGTGTTTGACGTTATTCTAGAAAGTACAAAGCATTTTAAGACTACAAAAAACAGACAGTTAAAAAAGTTGAAGAATCAGGATTTTTTCCAAAGGAGTTAGTCCATGGGTTTGGAAAAAAATTGAAATTTTACATCGTTGTATTTTAGGTATAATCAGCCAGCAAAATGTGTTTGACATTATTCTAGAACGTAAAAAGCGTTTTAAGACTATAAAAAACAGAAAATTTGAAAGTCGAAGAATCAGGATTTTTCCAAAGGAGTTAGTCCATGGTTTTGGTCAAAAATTTGAATTTTTTCCACCTTTTTTTTTTTAAGAAAAATAGGCCAGGAAAACATGTTTGATGATATTCGAGAAAGGAAAAAAGTGTTTTAAGACTAAAAAAATTTGACATTTTTCAACTTTTTATTTTAGACAAAATAGGCTACGAAAATGTGTTTGACAATATTTTAGAAAGAAAAAAAGGCATTTTTAGACTCTAAAGTCACAAAGATCAGCCAGCAAAATGTGTTTGGCATTATTCTAGAGAGTAAAAAAGCATTTTTAGACTATAAAAAACAGAGAGTAAAAAAAGTTGAAGAATCAGGATTTTTCCAAAGGGGTTAGTC